TAAAATAATAAAATAAAATAAAATAAAATAAAATAAAATAAAATAAAATAAAATAAAATAAAATAAAATAAAATAAAATAAAATAAAATAAAATAAAATAAAATAAAATAAAATAAAAAGGCTTTCCTCAGATTGTGGAATGCCTCAATACTTTTTGCTCTTCCAAGAGGAACACAAGATAGCATTTCCCAGGAAGATCTCTTCCTTTTTAATTGGAACTTCATGGGTTTGGCAGGTTGGCTGGGTTTACAAGCTGAAAGGTGATATTCTCCATCCTTTCCTTGGGTTGCAGATATCAACCTGGATCTGCTTATATATTTTTTTCTGAACTAGTGAATTTCTTGAAAATTTTACAATTCATGCTTTCTAAATTTATCCATAATTTTTCACCCTAGACAAGTTTGCAATAGAAACAAAGTGTTTTTTTTTTGTTTGTTTGTTTCAAAGAAAATGGTTAAGTTCTTCATTACAGACTTTGAAACATCTGAAACTTTGAAACATCTACAAAAGCATAGAAATACAAAATACTCATCCTTGAGTAAATTAAAAAGCTAACCTTAGCTACTCCAATGCCCTACATTATTTCACATCTACCTTTCCTTTGATAAGGATAAAATATTCTCTTCCTTCTTCCATTTGTCTTTCATCAAAACTGTACTATCTTTTTATTTGGTAGGAAGTAAGTTTTAACTATAAAGAATTCTTTACCAGATATATTCTTTTTCTATTGTTTCAATTTGCACTGGGGCTTTCTGCTTCCTAGGAAGTTTGTTTTGAAATCATATTTACTCAAATGCATATCCTTTTGTTTTGTGACATTTTTGGAATATATAGATTTTCAAGATGGTTGTTATTTTTTTAAAAAATCATATCTCAGAAGATTTCACAGTATACACGTTTTATAACTACCCCTCATCCCCCAGTACTCATTTATATAAACTAGCTTTAGGCATACAATGCTAATCCCTCTAGGCTTCCAATGGGGAGAGCTATGTCCCACCATAGAGCAATTTAATGTAAGAAACTTAGTGGGATATAAATCCATAATGCTTCTTACTGAAACTAGCAAGTTTCATTAACAAGTTCTCTTCAAAAGCATCCTAAGAGTGCTTAATGCACCATGGCAGTGATGAAGACTAGCAGCATAGTGGGCTGTATCAACAAGAGTAAAGCCAACAGACTAAAGGAAGTAATTATTCTCTTTTATTCATTAGACTACATCTGGAGTACTGCATTCAGTTTTGTTCCTCCTCCCTCCTCTATCAGCTTAAATGACATTCATAAACTTGAGACACCCCAGTGGTGAGCTGCCAAGATGGTCAGTGCTGGACAACTCACTCTGCATGCAGAAGTTGAGGGACCTGGGCCTGTTCCTCTTAGAGAAGAGATGGCTTCTGGGGGAAAGACTGCCGGCTACTGACAGGAAGACCAGGTGACTCACTAAAGTGTGTGCTGGGAGAAAGAAAGATAATGGTCATAAACTGAAATATGGGAAGATTTTACTGTTCATAAAGAAAAACATTTTCACTGTGAGGATAGCCCAGCATTGGAGCAGGTGTCAGCTGTCTCTTACACCTCTTCAGTGGAACCATTGTTGTGATTAGGTTTTCGATCCTTTGTATCAAGTGCACGGAGCCTGACTGAATTTAAGAAGAGATTGGACTGTGCACTTAGTCACATGGTCTGAACTTGGGTAGACCTGTGCGGTGTCAAGAGTTGGACTTGATGATCCTTAAGGGTCCCTTCCAACTCAGGATATTCTATGATTCTATGATTCTATGGAGGTTGTACAGGCTCTGTTCCTGCAGGTTTTCTAGATCCAAATGAAAAAGTCCTGAGGAACCTGACCTGACCTGATTGCTAACCCTACTCTAGACAGGAAGTAGAACTAGAAACCTCTGTAAGTCTTTTCTGGTCTGAATGATTTTATTATTTTTTGAAATTAAAAATAATAAATAAATAAAGGAAAAAAATCTCTGGTGTCAATTCAAAAACGTGAGAACAAGCATTTTTAAACCCAAATATATTTTGTCTTCTGTTAGTGTAAGTGGAGACATAACTGAAGTTAATGGCTATACTATGTAACAAAACTACTATAAGTGGAATAGGAATAGTCCAATGTGTTTTATACATGTAAATAATATTTTAGGTTGATGTTGCTAACACTAGAGGAAACATTTTCCTTTTTGTACTGCTGTTTTCCTTCCTGACATACCAGGGAACGTTGTACTTCCTTCTTAGGGTATGTTCTGTGGCACTGTCCTCTGTGTAACACCAGGCTCAGAAAAGTGTAGTATAAAACCATTCATCCATATATATACATGGTATGGAGTATGAAACATTGTAAGACACTAAAATCATGGAAAAATGAAGTACAGAGGTAGTACAAGGAAAAAAAAAAAAAGTCATTTAAACTCATTTAAACTCATTTAAGGACATCAGGATCTGTGCCCAAGTATGGTCTGAGTGTTAAGTTGTGAATGTGAAGGATGGAAATGAAAATATAATGAAAAATTTCATTTACACTTATCTGACCTGACCTGATCTCTGGATAAGAGGTTTGTGTAATCTTGAGAGCTATACTAGACACCCTAATGAAGGCAACATAGTTTGAGGGTCTCCTGCGAGAAAAAGACTACTCATAAAATATACAAGTACAAGACCAGATGTCCTAGGAATGGAAGATAGAGGACAGTGTATTTTGTATGGGTGCTCATCTGAAGGATAACATTATCACAACCAGTTAGCATTGCTAGTTAGAAAGAGATATTTAGGTTCAACAACATCAACTAGTAGCACCCATGGGTTAGAAGAATTCATCTAACCTAATGTTTGGAAGAATCACAAACTCACAGAATGGCAAAGGTTGGAAGGGACCTCTAAAGATCATCTAGTCCAGTCCCCCCGATGAGCAGGATCACCTAGAGCACATTGCGTAAGATGGCATTCAGGTGAGTTTTGAATATCTCCAGAAAAGGAGACTCCACAGCCTCTCTGGGCAACCTATTCCAGTGCTCTGTCACCTGCACAGTAAAGAAATGCCCTCTCATATTCAGTGTCTCAATAAGCCCAAGAACAAAGGATTCAAGGCACACAAGAATGATAATGGGAGAATCTGACTCACATCTGAAAAAAAAAACACAAATGCCATAAGGTGCCAAAATGTTCAACTGAAGCATTTTGTAGGTTGTAGAATACAATAGTAACATCCTCCAGCCATTTCAGGGGACATTTCTTGGAAGGAAACTAAATGGAAAATAAATAATGAAAAGTGTTTGGCCCAGAGTGGTGTGAGATTGTAGTTAGCAATGCTGTCTCCAGCAATGAAAACATGAACACCAGTGGGCATTAATGTCTGAATTATGGTTTCTTTCTGTATAGCTCAGTTTTCAATCCTGGCAGTGCTATGCATATTAGATTATATACACAAATTCTTAATATAGCATAGTGCATAATATGCGACTTAATAACATACAAAATGTGCTGAATAGAATGCAATGGAAAGTAATAATTTCATATTGTTTAGTGTTTAATATATTGCAAGTATTTTAAGTCTATAGAAACTCATCTATCAAGAATTCCTGTGCAGCTTTTCAGAGAATTCAGTAGTTTTATTCCTCGTTTAATACCATGGCAAGCAAACAGACAAATAATAATAATAATAATAATAATAATAATAAGTGGGCGGTGATTTTGAGTGACCCCTTTTATCAAGAAGTAAATATCTATCTTTTGAAAGCATCTACTTTCTTTAAAAAAAAAATAAATAAATAAAATAAAATAAAATATTTATTTTTATAGCTCAAAACAGAAAACACAAGTTTTTTTCTCCCTCTTTTTTAATGGTTTCATTATTGCATGTTTCATAGGAAATAGGAAGTCTTACTAGGAGTGGCTGAGAGAGCTGGGGTTGTTTAGCCTGGAGAAGAGGAGGCTCAGGGGCAACCTTATCACTCTCTATGGGTACCTTAAGGGAGGCTGTAGTGAGATGGGGACTGGTCTGTTCTCCCACGGGCCCAGAGATCGGACAAGGGGAAATGAGCTAACATTGCACCAGGGTAGGTTTATGTTGGATATTCGGAAAACTCCTTTACTGAAAGGGTTGTAAGGCATTGGAATGGGCTGCCCAGGGTTGAGTCACCATCTCTGGAGGTCTTTAAAAGATGTTTTTAAAAGATGTTTAGATGTAGAGCTTAGCGATATGGTTTAGTGTTAAGCCAGAGGTTGGACTTGGTGATCTTGGATCTCTCTTCCAACCTAAATGATTCTGTGATTCTGTCTGAAAAGATAAAAAAACCTGCCTTACTAGATACCTCTGTTTGCAGGTATTTTGGATCCATTGGGATGATGGAAAGCAATATCATGGATGTTGACTTCCTTTAGAATATAATGGAATGGAACGGAATGGAACGGAATAGAAAAGTAGAACAGAACAGAACAGAACAGAACAGAACAGAACAGAACAGAATAGAATAGAATAGAATAGAATAGAATAGAATAGAATAGAATAGAGAGGCATTATCCAAACGCCTCTTGAACACTGACAGCCTTGGGGCATCAACAACCTCACTAGGAAACCTGCTCCAGTATTTGACCACCTCATGGTAAAGACATTTTTCCCAATGGAAAAAACGGGTCTGAACCTCCCAAAGTGTAGCTTTTTGCCATTCCCATGTGTCCTTGTCATTGTTTACTAGGTAGCAGATGCAGGCACATCCCTCCCCATTTCACAGAATCACCCAGTGGTTCACGTTGGAAGGAACCTCTAGAGATCATCTGGTCCAACACCTTTGCCAAGCAGGGTCACCTAGTGCACATTGCACAGGATCACATCCAGGTGGGTTTTGAATATCTCCAAATAAGGAGACTCCACAAACTCTCTGGACAACCTTTTCAAGTGCTCTGTCACTCTTACAGTAAATAAATGTTTCCTCATATCCAGCCAGAACTTCCTGTGTTTCAGTTTGTGCCTCTTACCTTGTCCTCTTTCTTCTCCTCAGGAAGCTACAGAGAGAACTGATGTCACCTCTCAGCCTCCTTTTCTCTGGACTGGACAACCCAAGTTGTGAGGACAGCCTCTCCTCACAAGACATGCCTTTCTTTTATCAGCTTGTTACCTCCTCTGGACACTTTTAAGTTCCTTAATATCCTCTTTATATTGGGAAGTCCAGAACTGTACACAGTATTCAAGGTGAGGCTGTACTAATGCTAAATATAGTGGTAGATTCACTTCTTTTGACTGGCTGGCTATGCTATCCTTAATGCACCCCAAAATGAAATTTATATATTGCTTGGCTCCACCCAGAATCATACTCTTCAAAATGTTTTATAGAGTCCTATCCCCACACCAGTACATATTTGTATTTTTGTAGAATGAGCAATGCAGGGAATTCATGAGCTCAGAAAATCTTCAGAGTTCCTTTTGCTCAAACCCACATTCTGGTTGTTAGGAAATGGAGAAAATACTTTGTCCACTGCAAAGACCATAAACATTGATGTAAGTCCAGCTGTGGGCCCCTCCACATGACACTGTACAAATTCTTTTGACACAAGCTGGCACAGACTTTTCAAAGGCATCCATCCACCTTTTCTAGAACTTTAAGTGAGACTTCATTTTATCACAAAGGCACCATGTTCAAGAGTAGGAATACAGATCAGTCTGTTGTGGATCTCATTTCAGAGACCATGAATTTAATTAGCAGTTTCTCCAAAGGAGACTGACTTCCTACATGAATGCAGTTATATTACTTGGGGTCAGGTTCTCAACTAAGTTATGCCAGTGAACAGTAACTAAACAAAAGCATGCAAACAGCATGCAACTTCAGCAACATTACAATAAATTTGGGAAGGAATGGAAGCCAATATTGTGGTGGGTATCTGCATCAAAACCTGACTGAACAGAAGAAAAACTCTTGGGTAAAATTATGTAAAAGAAAGTGGAAGAGAAATTTAATATGATTCAAGTTGCAATGTGAAAATAAAATAGTTATCAGCAACTTACTGATAACAAATTAAACAATTTACCACTATTAAATAATTAATCATTTTACTGATAATTCATTAAACAAAAATGTATTTACAATGACTCATATCTGTACACTGATCTCTTTCTTCTAAATAACTGCTATATAATCTTAAACGAAAATTACAAACTTCTGACACTTTTTGGTGGAGAAAACATGTATATCTAATAAACTGTGATCATTGCTGTTGAAATATTTGTACACATATCACAAATTTCAAGTAACACAAGATGACTTGCAAATGTTATACCTTGAAGACAATTTTCCCCTCTTTTTTGTGTTGCATTTTGGCAGATGTCACATGCTTGTATAAAACAGTAAGCCAATAATTTATACATTTGTACTGTGCTTGTGGACAATGAAAACCACCAAAAGAGTGAAGAATCTCAATTTGGATTTGAATACTATAGTTTAGGCCCAGATTTTATACTTTATCATTGAGTCACAATAACATTATAAATGACATGTTTTGCAGTGTATTGTGTAACTATTATTTATGTAGTATCATAAATATACATCATTATAATGCAATGATCCATAAACTGTAACTGGATCAAAATAGGACATAAGTAAATCCATGTATCTAATGTGCTCTGAACTTTGGAAAAATGCTATTAGAAATGTGATGTTAATGGGGAACCTGTGTTCTGGACAAACTAAATTAAACTAGCATACCTGAACTTTGTGAAAATCTGGATCCAGACCTCAGCTTTTGAGCTCTAGTCTGTCCTGCAATCAATTATGCAATACTTGGTTACCAGAGATGGTTTCAGGAAACCTCCTCTATTTTTCAGCTGTTTGCGTTCTGCACAGATGAAGCATTAATCTTCTGGTAAGTTCCATTATTACAGTCTTTTCAGGAACGAGTGCTGAAATCACTGGCTGATGACACAAAGTGTTGAAATAAACAAGTATTAAATCATTAATAACTAAGCATAACAGTATCATCTTGGCTGCCTCTGGAGAGTTTGGAGTGGTATGGGATACAAGTGATGTCCTTTGGTATTTGCCTGTGTTGACTCTAAATCTGGCCACGCTGAGGCAAGCTTGGCAGCTGCAACACCCACATGCCAGTTCTGGAATTAAATTTTCCACCAGTTGGAAAGGGAGCTGGCACATTTGCTTGGCTGGTTCTAATAAAGTCATTTCTGGGCTAGGTCTATAACAACCTGTGGGACTGTTTAATGGCCAAGCTGCTGGTGGGCTATTTGTTTTAACACGTCCATTATCTTATGAAAGAATTTTCCTGTCTGTAATACATCAGAGGATGAAGGCTGGTAAAAAGGCAAAATATATTGAATCTTCAAAATTCTTTATGGCTTTGAGGGAAAATAGGCACAGACAGTTTTAATCTATTTTTCTACAATACATTTTAAGTGAAGACATTTTATACTCTATAAGATTAATAGATCTCTAATGGAATGATCCTGTAGCATTTGAAAGAACTGGAATAATGTTTTCTACATAAATATATTGTTTCTGTAGGATTTGCTAGAAATATAAATTTATGTATAATTAGATGTTTAAAAATATTTTATCTAGTTATATAGTGGATAAGTTCTATATAATGACTTTTTTTTTTAAAAAAAAAAAAAAGAAAAGAAAAAAAAACACTATTTGAGAGGATACTGCCTGATATTATGTTTTCTATTGAAGTTTATCTATGTTTCCATAAATCTCTAACAGGAAGGGCACTTGCATTTCTCCCCATTTGGAATACCACCAAAGCTTTCATCTGGTTAGAGGGAAGGGGATCCCTGTCTCAAAAACAAATCATTTTGGGGGGGTTGGAAAGTCAGTGGGAGAGATGTTAAACCAGAGTAAATCAAAATCATTTACTTTTACTAACTGGTAAAATCCTGGCTTAAATTTAGATAATTACAAAAGTAGTGAAAACAGCATTCTCTCCATTGTATTATGATCGGGATACTTGTGCCATAGACTGTCTCAATCTATGATGTTTAAAAGTCTTCCTACAGACCAGATACAAGCATTTTGTATAAATATTTTAAAATATTTACTACAGAACAAAACCATATTGAAGTCATATTTTAAAATGTACTTTAAACTGACTTCAGACTTTGCATAGCCACTGATGTTTATTCTTTGATCTTACACAGAAAAACTAAATCTTAAGCATTTTCCATCACTAGAGGTCAATTGAGCCATCCGTACAGTAAACGTCAGCTTTTGCCAAATCTCCAATTGCTTAATGGTGATAAAAGCAACAGAGAGGGTAGAGAAGGCCCATGAAACCCTGCGATTTCCCTGGAGGTCTTTCTTCTTAATGTTTATTTTTTCAGAGCTGCTGAGGAGCAAAGGACACAGCCTGACTCTGGGGATGCATGAGGAAGAAAATCCTGCCCTGCAGAAGGGCAGCCACATGATGATAGTGTTAGGCTGCCTTCTTGCTTGTCTGAGGGGTGACTGTATTGTTCCCATAAGATTGCCTGTGTCTAGGCTACTTGTTGGTGTTGGTTTTCCTCCTTAAAGTCCAGCTTCTAGAGTTGTAAAAAGGTGTTTTTATTTAAACAGAAAGAAGAATATTTCAAGTTCTAAAGAAGAAATGTTGAAAAGAAGAATTACACCAATCTGGATAAGAAAAGGTTTTTTTTTCTTCTTTTAGGAATAAAAAAATATGATTGTGTTTGTGGTGTGACTCACAGTTTCTGAACCATTGAGGCCACAGGTACTGTATTACCCCTCTACATTTCATTTATTCACATGTATTGTAATTCTCAGTGTAGGTTTAGAGAAACAAACAAACAAACAAAAAGCACTTTGATTCTGCAAGAACCTTCATATTGGTATTATTGGATTTGTCTGCTGTGGAACAGGATCTCAAGGCCTTTATGAACAGCTTTCAGTATCTTCTTCCCAGTTCAAATCAACCCCTATAAAATACATATAGCAGATATTTCTAACTTTAAAAAAAAAAAAAAAAAAAAAAAAGTCAACTCCGTAAGGAATCCCTTTGTTTGTTTGTTTGTTTTTCCCTACACAAATTAGGTCAATATTTTGAATATATATATATATATTAATATATATAAACTTACATAGATGTATCAAGGTGGTGGAATTCAGGTTGAATTTAAACAATATCCAAATGAGCTACCTGAGTGCCTCAGAAGAGCCATAATTTTGGCAATCTGTGGTCATGTTCCTATATGCATTTCAGCCTAACTGTCTAAATTGTATTTCTGATAGTGCACATCCTTTGGTATTTTTGTGCCACTTTCAGAAATTATTCTTCTATGGACCAAAAAGTTCTGGAGAACTGAAGTTTCTCTTAAGTAGTTTTATAACTACACTGTGATATAAAATTCCAAGAGCAAGCAGGGATTCACCTTCCTGTAATAAAATTCTTACCCTTATCAGTCTTAACATAAAAAACTGTTACTGTTTATTAGTTCTATTGCAGCTTTGTGTAATGAATCCTAAACAGCATTAAAATCCTGATGTACAAAGAACATAGTCTTAATAATGTATAGTCTTAACAATGTATAGTCTTAATATATCCACAATGTTGGTATCTCACCAGAAGCTGGTTTTAAGAAGAATAAAAAATGTAAAAATAGGCTGACTGAAAATATGGATGAGAATCTCTTCTCAAGCATGAGGGGAAGTGGAAGAGGGTGCAGAGGCGTTTGTGAAATGATGATAAGGACTGGCACCATTAGTGAAGTGATGGTGGAAGTTGACTGAAAAATTCGACATTAGATTTGATAGGGGGTGTACCAAGGATAAACCCAAGGCCAAGTGTTTGTGAAGAGAGTGGGAAATGGTTCAGGCTAGAGCAGTGCAGAATCTTCAGTTAGATTTGTTATAAATTTACTGAAAAAATGCATTTCCTATCATGTGTATGCAGTTAACATATATTGAATAGTAAAGGTATCAGAGGAAAATAAAGTGCAGTTTTTTTATCAAAAAGTTTACAGACAAGCAATATTGGCATGGTCACAAAATACCTCATTTCAGTTCTCTCCTGCATCTGGAGATCTTAATCATACTATCACACTATCTGAGACATTGACAATTTGACAACCAATTAGATAGCTTAAGCTATATTCCTTATGGTAATAACACAGTTCTAGCTGACAAGAATAATTAATATGTCCTGGAGTACAGATCAAAACTTCCTGGGTACGTGGCTAATCACTGGGTCAGTAAGTCATTTTCATACTCTTGTTCTCTGTCTTCATATATATTTTAATACACACAGTGATTTAGCTCCATCATGAGTGATTTCAGTCTCAGTGAAGTTTACTTATTAATTAAGATACCCAGCTGCTTTCTGTTGACTTCAGTTCAAATCCACCCACTTCTAGTTTCAAAATACTATGCCTTCCTCCCACCCCTGTAGGTTGTAGTTGTATAAGACAAAGTATATTTCTGGAAGTAGTAAGAGATAGCTTCTAAAGCCCTAAATTGAACTAGAGAATTGAGACAGTCTCAGATATCTTGTCTATATTCTCTACTACTCTACTACTGGATAAGAGAAGATTAGTATCACATCCTCCTATGGAGTCGGGTGAATTCAGCCCTCCTAGAAATGTCAAAAGTGATTTCTTTCTGTCTGAAATAAGCCCACCACACTAAACAGAGATACTTTTTATTTTATTTTTTTTTTATATTACTTAATTATTTTTTTATTTTATTTTACTTAATTATTTTTGTTTTATTTTATTTTATATTTATTTATTTTTTTATGTGTTAAAATATGCAAAACTATTCAAATTGGCTTTGATCTCAGTTGGATGAGAAACAGGTTGCACAGAGAGGTCCTTGGAAATTTTCAAAACCTTATTGAATAAAGTTCTCAGCAGCCTGGTCTGACATAATTCCTGACTTTGCTGTGAGCAGAAAATTTTGCTGGATAACTCCTGTGGCCCTTTGCAGCCCGAATTATCCTAGGATTCTATGGTCTTATGTTCAGTCAAATTTAATGATTTTATCGAGTTAGTCAAACTAGAAAAGATCAATATTTTACAGAAGACTTTAATATCTTCTTATTACTGATGTGAATTCATCAAAGTTTACTCTCCTCTGAGGTAATTCAGAAGATACTCAGATGTTCACCGTTTTCATTTATTTATTTACTTCCCTTGATACCAGATAGACCAGATGACTGAGAGAAAAGATCTATGAGCTCTAGCAATACTGATGGATATCTGAATGGTACAAATGAGATCACCAGCATCACAGAATATTAAGGAAGCTTTCTACCAAATTTTGATTCTTGAGGAAAAAAATAATATGTATATATATATGTATGTAACATGAATCTCTATTTAGAGTCTTGTAAAATATAAAATTTCACACAGTACTCCTATAAACATAAAAACACAAAGCTAATGAAGTTTGTTTAATTTAAAAATTCATAAAATTAAATTAAGTCAATATTAAAAAAAAAAGTCCTCAAAACATCCACCAATTTGTAACTTAAAAAAAAAAAAGCCTTAGAACATTTATCATAGAAAGCTGTAAGAAAATGGCTGAATGCCATTCCCAAGTGATATGAAGTCATGCAAGTTTATTGCCACTGACTTCAGCTACTATTATGTTACACTTTCAAAGTGTTTTGAGATGAATATGTCAAAAAAAAAAAAAAAAAGTGTTTTCTTCCTTTTCCAGGATGCTATTTGTGGTCTGGATACTCCTCTGTGATAAATTCCTGTAAACTCAGAGAGTTTTAGGGCAGAAGAAACACTAACTCAACTAATCTAAACCTCATATGTAACTAAATTATAACATTAATCCATTTATACTTACATGAAATACAATTTTTATGTTTAACTGATGTTTTCTTTCCAGAAAGATGTGATCTGAAGGTGTTGGGAAATAAAACATCTTCTGTTTTTGTGGATCTATAAAAAAGTTGGTCAGGTGATTCTGTGCTTATTTAATCTAGGTTTCTTTCCCAGTTGCTTTCCACATATAGTACAAGTTTTTTGTTTGACATCTTTCTTCTATATAAATCTTACAAACTTGGGCTTCCTTGTTAATTTAAGATAATTTTCTTACTATTCTGTAAGTATCTCCAAAGCCCTAACTGTCTTCTTGAACTTTGTAATGAATAAGGTTCAAGAGCAGCTGTCTTTAAAAAAAGAATTACTATGTAAGTCAAAGATGAAATAATGCATCTATTAGAAAACTCACTACAAAGAGAAACAAAGAGAAATGAACTTGAACAGTACTTTGAGTAGCTTCTACATGAAATTAAGTGTAAAGATAATAATTATCTTTTGGTTTTGGTCTAATGCTGAGAACTAATTTGTCCAGCCATCTCTGACAAAGCACTATCCATATATTTTTGAACTTATGTATCCTCATTTTGTTGTTTTTGTTGTTATGCTTGGCTATGGCTACAACTGCACTTAACATTTTTATCAAGAACACAATGGACAGTTCTTTGGTCCTTGTATGCCTAAAATATTTTTTCCCAAATAAATAAATAAATAGTTTCTTCCCACTGTGCCATTTCACAAAGACTATGTTCTTTTGTGACTCTTGGGACTCCCATTCTTTCTTAGTATCAGTGTGCCATAGTTTAGCTTCATGGTGACACAAAACAGGCTGTTCTGTTGGAAAAACATGTGCAACTAGCTGCCACATTTTCTTCTGATAGCCTGTGCTCAATATCTTGGTGAAAATGTTCTCATATCACAATTCCAAAGGAACTTTACAGACAGACCAAAATGCCCAGGACAGCAACATGAAAAATACATAAGGAAATGCCCCTGAGGATATCATTCCTCTTCATCCAGTAGCTTCCTAGTTGTATCAGGACATTCACTTTGATTCCATCCATCTGTGGAATATGGTACTGTTATATGCTATATGGTACTGCCTATCTGCATTTAAATATTCAAGCTATTTCAGGACAGATTCAGTTGAATAACTTTGCAACAAGGATCATAAGATTATTAACAAGGATCATAGGAAGAATATCATTAAGTCAGACAAATAATTGCATTTTTCATTAACTGAAAAAAATGCTGTGAAAAACAGTCTTAATCTGCATTAAGAAAAAAATATATATATATGTTTTCATGCTAAAAAGACCAAAAAAAAAGTGAAAGACAAACTTGATTTTAAGCAAATATATGATTTGATCTGAAGTCCAAAGGTTTTCATTGTCCAAGATCTGTATTGTAGCAAATAAACTATCCAAAAGAAAAACAAATGCTTGTAGTTACTAAAGAGGTCTTTGTAAAAGACTTTTTTTTTTCTTTCTCTAAAGTAAACAAATCAGTTTAGTGTGATAGCTTCTGATTATTTCTAAAAGAAGCAAAAATCTACGTTTTATGAACTTTCCTAGCTAACTGGGAGTCATTTCATATTATGGATAAGACAGAGCTGTCTAGAACTTCAGGAGATAAAATACTATTTAATTTCAGATAAGCTTCACTCTGCAGATCTCTGAAGAATTTGAATGTCATAGTGACACTTGCTAAAGAAACAACTAGGATAGATAAAAAACAATTACTCCTAGAAAATCATCCATTTATTTAACATCAATAACAAAATGCAGATTCCCATCTCATAAAGTTTCTATCTGGAATATTGCTAAAAGGCATGAAACCCAACTACTTATTAAGAATGCAATGCAACCAAGATAGAAAACAATAGGTGGCAATATCTCCTAACAAGCCTAATGTGCAAAGTTCAATGCCATATGCAATCTACTGCCATATCCACTATCAATACTTTCCCTCTGAGTCACATGTAAGTACTGAGAAAAGAGATTCAGCATGTCCACAGAACACAATGTGCATCCAAGAGAACGGCATGTTTCCAACCCTATGGAAGGATGTACGTCACCAAGCTCTGCTGAAAGCCATTGGTGTCTCATTTAAACAGGAGCAACCCTTGAGCATTTGAGATCTATGGCAGGCAGGAATTTGA